TATATATTTCTATACTATATTATAAAATATTTGACAAAAAAAAATTAAAAACCATATTACATATAGATTAAAAAAAAATATAGAACAAAGATTATAAAATAATACATATAGAACAAAGATTATAAAATAATACATATAGAACGAGTATCCAACTCTTAACACGTGTCCATTTCATTCCTCCCCCTCAAATTTGGAATCATTCAATTCCCATCCCCCAATGTTCTCGTTTTCCCACTTACACTCTCATAGGTCATTGACCTCCTACTCGAGGCACAACGTTTTAAAGTAAAAGAAAATCAACATGATACAGATCTTGTAATTAAAACTACGAAACAGTGTTCCTATGCATTGTTTTTTATGCATATTGATGTCTGAAATGGTTTTAAAAAAAAAATTTACTTTTTTCGAATCGAATCAAATAAAATTACTGATGCAATGAAAACGTGTTGAGCTATATTACATTTGTATTCGTCGTTTTGAATTAATTCCATCTCTGTGTATTCATTTGATCCGATTGAATACCAATTTTTTGTTAAACAATGCCCCAATGATTTTATGAACAAATTTCACTACTTGACTCGTCTATGAGAAAATAATAAGAATATATAAAATATAGACTACAAATTAACGCTTTTTAAGGTGTGCAAATAAAATGTTGTACGTTGTATACCTAAACTTATAGACTTCGAACGTGTTAATGAAGTATTTATAGTTCAATTACCAATTTAGGGTTTCTTCGATCGCTTACAGCGCCCATATCATTTATACCATATCCAGATATCATATAATTCGGCATAAATGTGGTCACATGCGGTAGGTATCTGTTCTTTTTGCTTGAAGAATAAATATGGGCCACCATGAGAAAGAACACAAAACACAAGGTATAATCGTAAGTTACTCAAAAGTATATATATATATATATATATATATATATATATAGGGTCGTTAAAGTGAACATTATTCATCAACAAGTAGAGGTATATCCATAAGTTACTCAAAAGTATAGGGTAGTTAAAGTGAACATTATCCATCAATAAATATCCCCTTCTCCTTCAATTCCCACACCAACTCCAAAGATTGAAGATGGAAGCATGGTGTGGTGTGGGAATAGTGGTAACAGTAATAGGATTGTGGTATGGTTGGAGATTTGTGAATTGGGTTTGGTTGAAACCTAAAAAGATGGAGAAGTGTCTAAGAGAACAAGGCTTGAAGGGGAGCTCCTACAACTTCTTATTTGGAGACCTAAAGGAGATGGTGAAGATGACAAAGGAGGCCAAATCTAGACCCATAAATCTTACAAACGATATAGTTCCCAGAGTCTTGCCTTTCGAATATAAATCCGTCACTGCTTATGGTACGAATGCTTGCTTTGCTTTATTTTCATGAGTCTTTTTTTTACTGTTGTACTTCCATTATTTCTTTCTCTTTTGGTTATTTTCTATTTTTGGAGACCTTAGATTCAATATATTTATTTTGAGTAACATAGTATGTCTTTGATCGATACCACTAAGGAAATGTAGGATGTGTTTGATGCAGTTAAATGAACGTATTTTCTAAAGCTCGATTTTCTTGTTTAGAAGTTGGATTAAAAATGAAAGAGAACACGTTTGATTTTGATCCAATTTGCTACCTAATAAAAGTTCACTAGTACTATCTTTCGTCCGTTTATCCACATGCCCTCATTCACGTAATCTGTTTATCAACATTATTTACGCTTAAAATTATCCTTGATAAGTCTCACGATTAAAATAATAATAAAAAAGTCTGAAGATAGATAGATAGGCAAAGTTATTATGAAATTCGATATGTTTAGGTCTTCTTTTTTTTAATTAAGGGGAAATATTATGTTTAATTTCAACTTTAAATCATGACATTGTTTGGCAAAGATAACCTAGCTTATAAACTAATTTATTTTCTTGGTATACGTTTAGATGCACATAAGTTAGCTTTATTGAAACGCTACTAATAGTATCATTTTGGTAGCTTATTGTCATTTTTTTTTCAATTATGACTTATTAGTATTAATTATTTATTACTTTTATAAATAAAATTAAATATTATTAATATTAATAAATATAAATTGAAAATTAATTATTAATTAATTTTACTTATACATTATACATTAGTATTATTTATTGATTATCTACAATAACTATTAATCATATTAACTATTTGCATTTTTTTAAATTATTATCAAGTATATTTAGTTCTTAAAATGCAAATATAACAGTTTTAATAATGTTTATATGATACAAAAATTAAAGTTATACTTACTTTATTTCGTAGATAATAAAAACGTGTTAAATAATTTGAATAAAGTATTTAATTTAATTTATTAAATACATTTAAAAAAATATAAATTAATTAAAATATGTGAGGTTGATCATTTTTATTTTTATTCATATTATATGTAATGGTTATTTAAAATCATAAATTCAAATATTATAATATGTACAATAATCAATTTGAAATTCTTTTCAAAAATATATTATATTTTTTCATTTTTTTATCATCTTGTTCGTATTAGTTAATATATTATATTATTAGAGATTTGTTTCAATTATATTTTAAAATATTATAATTGGTTAATTTTTCAAGATACCCTTTTTGGTCATCTTATATTTTCGTCAACTAATTTTGTCAATTACGGTTTGTTCATCAGCTAGCTTATAAGCTACCATTTAATTTATCAGTCATCAGTTAATTTGTTAAACATAACCTAAATTTAATATATTCATTCATTTATACGACAAAATTGAATATAACACCAAGATAAACTTAATAATCGTTGTTTTTAGTTATCATACAATTATTGGTATATTTCTTTTGATATGAGATTTCAATCTTCTCCACGTCTTTATTTATTGCTAGCAGACATTGCATGAAACGTTTTGAACAAGAATACTATATATTTTTGATGCATGGTAAATGGACTTCGCATTACCCAATATATGATGAGATAGCTGTTTCATGTTTGTTATGACTTTTGTTTGAAATAGATGGGAGCATAGTGAAAGAAAGTGGAACAGTCGTATATGTCCATCCCTACCTTATAGAATAAAGTGAAAAAAAACCTATATTGTATTAATACATCTTTAAAAGTAAAACCTAATTGCTTTTTCAAACATCAAATACATCTCTCTCTTTACATTTATTTTTACTTTAAAAAATTTATTTATTATATTTTATTATTTTAAACTTTCTCTTTACTGTTCTCAAAATTCTATTTTTTTATATTTTTTATATTTTGGTTTATTTATGTAATAAAACATTATATGAAAAAAGCATAAAATAAAAATCAAAAATTCCATAAACTTCATATTTAGTGTCATTTTTAATCGCATTGACGAAAAATTTCTAACGATATATTTTGTTATAAAAAACATTTATTTTTATTATCATATTTAATAAATTAATCAAAATATAGAAAAGATATAAAATAGGAAATGAAAATTTGAGATAAGTAAAACAAATGTTTAAAGGGGATAAAAAATTTATCAATGTGATTTTAGGTATTTTGATTTACTAGAAGGGTACTCACACAATGCAGCGAGATAAATCTCTATTTTAATGTTTAGTTTTTATTCTTTGTCTCTATCGATATAATACGATTTTAWGTGGTTTTGAGAACGCGATAATGTCTTTACTTTGAATGAAAAATAAATTTGAAAATAACATAAAAAAATTTAAAAATAAAATAAAATCGATATGAGTGTTAGATTAACTATTTAACAATTCTCGTTTTTTTTTTTTTTGTGTAACTTCTTTAATTCAATTTTTTATTATAATTTAATTTAGGTCCAATAACAAAGTAATTTATTTTTTGTTTAATAATATAATTTTTATTAAAGATATAATTAAACATTTTGTTAGAAACTCACTGATTATCCTAATTATATTTTAAATTTTCTATATTTAAAATAGATATTTATCCTGTATTTGATTATGTTTATCTACAGCTAGTTATACGAATTTAAAAATGAAGCTTTAATAAGTTGTACTTACGTAAAATCACTTGTAATCTTGAATTTTAAGTAATATGTATCAATAAAAATTAGTATTTCATGCATAAGAAATAGTTTTTAAGAGTTTTTGTCAAATATTTTATAATATAGTATAGATGAATAAGATATAAAATAAAAGATGCTTAATTAGGTCTTTTGATTTTATGAATGTCAACTTTTTAATAAATATTTATGTCAGTTGTTTTTGTATTTTGAATATTATTTCTTAATTTTCATTTAGATTGATTATTTATTAAAAAAACACTAAACAACTTATTTGAGGTAAGCTGATTTTACCGGTCATATTTTGTCCAGACCTGTTTTACCAAACATTAAACAATTGTCCTGTAATGAAATGTCATATCTTGTCATTTTATATCCTTATTTGTCTCGGTATCAAACCAAAAACACACATAGAGATAACTAAACACGTTCCAATCCGTCTCAGACCTGTTACAAGATTTCTAGATATGCAAGACCTGTCCTAGGACCAATTACAGAGAGGACCAATTATAGTACAAGTTTTGTAGTATTTTTTAAAGTAAATGTAATATTAAAATGCATTTGAATGCTCAATTTCAAAATGATAAATATAAGAGGTTTTATAGCATTTTCGTGTAAAAAAGTCTTAAAATTTTCTATAAAATGGGCTGGCCCGGGACCATATTTGGGATCGATTGTGAAGGATGGAGATCACTAATTGTCAGATATAAGATCAGTGTTAGGATTTTTGGTCAGGGTCAAATCATGCTAATCCAGTTACACTTTTACCAAGTTGGGATGGAAACTGATTTAATTAAGACCACCTGACCCAAAACCCATTTTTAGCCATCTATGCTTCAACATCCAAAACACATTAAAATTAAAATAAAAGGAAGACTTCCTAAAATTCTAAATACATTTGCCACCAATCATAATTGTCAACTGTGATCACTCTAAATGATTTTTTTTTTTTTGCAATTGTTTAGGCAAGTATTGCTTCACATGGATGGGGCCGAAACCTATTGTACATATAACTGAACCAGCTACAATAAAAGAGATATTGGCAGATTACCGTCAATTTCAAAAGCCAAAAGGAGGAAACCCATTATTAAAGTTGCTAGCTAGAGGTTTAGCATCCGTTGAAGGTGATCAATGGGTGAAGCATAGAAAAATCATTAATCCAGCTTTTCATGTCGAGAAGTTGAAGGTTTGTTCTTCTTGCCTTACGTATTACAACATGAAAATTGATTGTTATCTATTTTTGAAGATTTTGAGTTTTGATTCTCCATTTTGAAACCAAAAACTTTGAAGGTTCAATTTTATATACTTTATTTGAAAAAAAAAATTCCTGATCCAAAAAAATAAAGAAATGTAAAAAATATTTTTCCTTGGCGATATTTTTATTCTCTCGTATCAAGTATTTCTTAAGAACATCTCTGTTAAAGATGCTCTTAATCCATTTTTCCCACTTATACCTGGAAATGGTAATAATATATCTTTTTTGATAGCATATGGTTCCTGCCTTTTATATGAGTTGTGCTGAGATGATCAACAAGTGGGAAGAAATGTTAAAGAAAGAAGACTCGTGTGAAGTGGATGTGTGGCCTTCTCTCCAAACATTATCTAGTGATGTGATTTCACGTACATCATTTGGTAGTAGCTTTGAAGAGGGGAAAAGAATATTTGAACTACAACGAGAACTAGCCGAATTGATTGTGGAGGCTGGACAATCACTTTATATTCCCGGATCAAGGTAAGTATGTTTTTGAACAATAGTTTTAAGCTCGCTTTCCTTTTAAAGAAAGGACACTTTAATGAAGAACTTGGTACCAAAATTGTGCAAATATATGCAATAATCACAATATCTTTTCGATTAGTTGCCAAACGGATGTAATAACTATAGTGTATCACAATATATTTTCAATAACAAAACATATTACTTTAATTTCACCATGGAATGTTGTTTATTTGGCCATCAAACTTGAATGTCCCTGTCAAAGACCTTCCAGCCTAGTAAGGCTTGGGCATGACATAGTCATGAACCCRAGTTCGAGCCCTGGGAGGGGAGTGTTGGCGACATTTAAGTGGGGCCATGTCTAGCCTCCAAAATTGCCGGGGATTAGTCGGGCTTTGGCCCGGACACCCTTACAAAAAAAAAAAAAACTTGAATGTCCCTGATATTTGGTMAGGAAAGAATATTATATTATGATAATCGAACTTAATTTTGTAGATTCTTGCCAACGAAAAGCAATAAAAGGATGAAGGAAATTGACCGAGAAGTGAAAGCTTCGATAAGGAGTATCATTGATAAACGAATGACCGCAAAGAAAGCYGGGGAAAGAAGTAACGATGACTTGTTAGGCATACTCCTGGATTTGAACTACAACGAAATTAGACAACACGGGAGTAGTAATTTTGGATTAAGCATCGAGGAAGTCATAGAAGAGTGTAAGCTTTTCTACTTTGCAGGACAAGAGACCACAGGAGTTTTGCTTGTTTGGACTATGATTATGTTGGGTCAACACACAAGTTGGCAAGCACGCGCTAGAGAYGAAGTCTCACTTGTCWTTGGGAAGGAAAAAATAGATATCGATGGATTGAATCGTTTAAAAACTGTAAGATTTTCTGTTTATCTCTTATAATGTTTTATTATGTCGAGAGATATGTTCCCTTCCCTAAGGTCCATWATTTTTCGTTACCAAGTATTTTGACCAACACTTTTCTCACTACTAGAAAACAAACTAAGGCCATCTAGGTTATCGCTCAGCTAAAGAAATCAACTTGTTTTATACCAAAAGTAGCACCAAAATGTCTATACAGTCACTATTAAATAAAGGGGTTCCATCGACAGATTATCTGACGGATTTGTCCATCGGAAAAAGTCTAATGTTTTTTAATGAGCATAATAATTATYATGTTTTACAGGTTACCATGATTTTCAATGAGGTTCTTAGGTTATATCCACCTGCGGCACCACTTGTACGTATGGTAGATGAAGATACCACATTAGGAAACATATTTTTACCAGCTGGATCGCACCTTGAACTACATGTGATGCTTTTGCATCATGATAAGGATATATGGGGTGAGGATGTGAATGACTTCAAGCCTGAGAGATTTTCTGAAGGTGTGTCAAAGGTGACCAAGGGACAAGCATCATATCTCCCCTTTRGTGGGGGGCCACGTATATGTGTCGGACAAAATTTTGCTTTACTAGAGGCAAAAATAGCACTCGCTATGATTCTACAACACTTTAGCTTTGATCTTTCCCCATCATATGCACATGCTCCGCATAACATCATCACTCTTCAACCTCAGTTTGGGGCTCATTTGATATTACGTAAGCTTTAAACAATATGTATTCGATGCAAACATGGTTCAATTTGTATTTTATGTAACTATAGTAAGTTGCGACAAAACAATTTGAACGATTATCTTCAAGGGTTGATACAATTATTTGGCCATGTACTTATCTCTTAATATGACCGAAACTTATAACTAGATTGTAATTAGTACTTATTTTTCTGTTAGTAATTTGAAGGTTAATTACGTAACAAGTTTATTCTTATAATGATAGATTGTTGGTTAAACTGATTTTGATTTCATATGTTGTCACCATTAATGGTTGTTGAAACAATCAAAATTTACATTTTTTTATAATCCTAGTTGAATCAAACAAATTCAAAATTTTCTCTCTATTTCAAAGTATCCATTCATACAAAATAGATCGGCACCTAGTTTTATTTCAAAAGAGAGTTTGAGGCAAACAAAATTCGTCTCTATGCTTTTACTCTGTCTAGTTTTGCATTGTGATGGTTGAACTTTTCATTCGATATATAATAATAAGGTCCTGGCAATACAAGTATATATATGATGGACAAACACTTTTCATTGTAACTTCCAGAACCTAACACCAGATGATATATGCTACAAATGCTTTACGACGTCAAATAGAAACTTAATATTTTTATTTATGTTATTATTGTAAACAACATTATTCTAGCCAATGGAGTTAGCCGCTACATTGTAAACTTTAACGTTAAATGAGGGTTTTCCAAAACACATTAGGAACTAAGAGGGTAAATACGGGATTTGCCACCCAAGTTCCCAAATTGAAAAGGATGAACAACAAGAAATCACGTTCATGTGCGATGTAGTAATCTTTCCAAATGTTGTCGTTTTTTCATCACCCTTCCATGATTTCTAACTTCATTAGGCGTCGGTCGGAACTTACATCAAAATACATTGAACATAAAAGAARAATAAAACAGAACAATATCAAATGTGTGATGGGTCTATATCATAATCTTTTTCCATTAGGAAGGATAAGATATCTTCAAAGTCAAGCAAACAATTAATAAGAGCTAACGACCATTTCATGACACCATAAAAATGATGGAACAACCTATATATATAGATTTGGGATCATTTTAGACCAACTTGTTTTCGTAAAATCCATGAGACCATATTTTTACACTTAAAACTTCACATACTGTGAAGCTAATCTTCACAGTGTTCTTGCTGTGAAGGTTCAGATTCCTTTTACCTTTACAATATTTTGTTGTTATATATATGTATATATTTCATGTTTCAATAACGTCATCACATTCATGGTTTCATTTTATTACTAAACTGAACGCTTAATTGGTCACAACTAGAGGAAGATTCGTATATACGAATTCTAAACCTGTTGAGATTTTATCAAATTCATTTGAAAAGTAAAAATTTCCGTATGCTAATCGTGAGTCTTTAACTTGGGTAGAGAATATAGCTTTCACAGGTCTATGATCYGATAACTTCGATTCACTTCTCGTGTATAGAATTTGCTTTAGTTCCTTCCCCGACCATATTATCCTATCACACCTATAATACATTCACAAATGCAAATTTAGAAGCATACRATATAGAGAAATAATGGTAACGATATGAATATTTCAAAGCATACCATGCGGGTGCACGTTTCATTTCTTGATTCTTCACAAAGTATTCGTCGGAATCCGGAAGATACTTGTAAGTAGGTGCAAAATCGATTGTTCCCTCATGCCATGCTCCAAACTGACCATCCAAACTGACCATCCACGAGCTCCGTTCGCAACTGCATTTCATCAGTTCCGTTAAATATGAACGTAAGTTTAAAAAAATATACAATTTATATGATTTTAGTTAATTACCTGATCATATTCAAGAAGTTTCTTCCAATCCTTTTTGTCTACCAATGATCTTGTTTCCTTTTCCGGTAAAGAAATCCGGTAATTCAAGTCTCCGAACACCACCACCCGACTATTATCAAGGCAAAAGAATAAAATATATTTTTTATCATCAGAATCCAATAAATCAATAACATAATTTTTCTTACTAACGAAAAACAAATGAATCTATATTAAAAACGTTGCCCAGTGCATGGTGGTAGGGGTCCTGTAGGCCCCCAACAAACCCACCATTTTTTTAAAAGAAGGTTATAAAAAAATTTGTTTAGTAAATTTTTCTATTGTACGACCAACAAGAACAATATAAGACTCCTAACAAGAACAAAGCAAGACCACCAACAAGAACAAGACAAGGACCCCCAACTTGATATCTTGATTGTTAATTGATCCATTTGCAGCACACACTGATATTTTCGTTCGAAATATAAAATACAAAAATTATACACCTCGATAAATTAGTAAAACGTCAACTGAAAATCAATCTGAATAAGTTATCTTTATTCGGTTAACTGAACCGCTTAATCCCAAAAGGAAAACCCAAAGCCRTTTTCATCCAGATGAATTATTTGGTTTTRWTTTTTTTTCTACACCCTTAAATATGCCTCCAACTATAAAAGTTTTTAAATCCGTMGCTGATTAAAAATCTCTCTCATGTGGGAAAACAAAACGTTGTATTTTTTAGATCAAGTAATAAAAAAAGTATATAATAGAAAAAATAACCGACTAAATCACGAAGTAACGGTCAAGTTTATTAAAAAAATTACACACACCTAATGGTTTTGACTTTTTATCGACTCGTTTGTCATCAAAGAAATACTTTAATTAGTTACCACCATTAGAAAACAATTATAAGCGATGAAAATTAATGACATAAAAAATCTCTCGTTGATCAGCTACAGATCAGTAAAGGATTGGTCAAAATTCAGTTCCATCGATGATCCCCCAAAACTGGTTTTTTGCCGGTTCCCTCGCAGTTTTTTCGCAAATCAGCGAAGGATCAACGACGAATTAGCCAGTTTTCTCGTTGATCCGTCGCTGGAAGTTTTATCTCGCTGATAACATTACATACGAGGTTTTGACCGATGTACGATCAGCGGAAGATTTTTCCCTTACCGATTATCTTCATTTTTGTAGTGCTATATATTTAATATTAATTACAATCAAGAATAATATAATCCAAATGTAAAGATACTTTTCATAGCTAAGATATTTTGTTAAAAGGATCTCCAGCGATCTTGTCCGTCGATGAAAATTTCAGTTTTAATAGTGTTTTTTATATATTTTAATATATATGATTAAAATAAATTATCAGTAATAGTTATATATTCTAATCACGTGGATTATGTAGTTTTGAATATAAGACAATACGGTATCAATAATATCAAAATAATAAAACTCAATTTATTCATATTTATTTATTTAAAAAAAACTAAAATAATATCTATTAAATTAAAGATATTTTATACTAATTAATAAGTAATGAATAATATATAATATCCGCAAAGGGTTTGGTCATTACTTCACACTCACGCTCTACTTATTCACCTTATAGTTTATATATACAACAATAATAATATTAATTAATAATTAAATTTAAAACCAAAATAAATAGTTATATATATATATATATAGATGAATTTTAAATAAATAAAAACAAAATATCGTGAAAAAGAAAAGAATACGAAGTTAAAATAAGGTTTATATGTGAATCATTTAAAAAATTCAAAAAAAATATACTTGAATACATATATGCATGTATGTGTATAATGAAATATATTAAACTAACACATACGTACTCATGGTCCAAAATCCTTTTTGGCAAGCGAATTGAGGACCCTTTGGTTGACGAAAAACTTGTACGTGAAAATATCTCATTGGCATTGGAATTTCTGTTTCGTTCATCGCCTTCTCCCCCTCCTGATGCTAGATGACTACATACAAAAAAATCATATCTAACTAAGGGGTGATTGAGATTGCTTATAAAAACAAATTATTGACTTATTTCGGTATGGAACCGGTAATAAACACTTTCGAGTGTTCGGATAAACAACTTATACCGGTGTCAAACCGGTGATAAAGAGTTTTTGAAGAAGTTAAACCCTTCTGACTTATAATAAGTTAATAAGTGCTTTTATAGAAAAGCATAAGTTGTTTCAAATAAGCAATCCCAAACACCTCCTAAGTAACTATCGTAATTTGAATTTTATCTCATCAAATTTATGAATACGTTTGGGTTTTTTTGGTATTTTATTTGAAATCTTTAGTGTAATCAGTTTGTACGATTCATATATAAAACACCCTCTTCATTTGCCCGACAAATATATAGATCTTTTAAATAGTAAATGCGACTCATAAAAACTTATATCATCTAACAATAATTGATCATGATATTTTGTTTCATATTGAACACACTGATAACTCTGTGAGAATATATGAATCTTCGTTTAAATTAATCTTCAGAAGAACCATTATGAAAAGAAAGAAGGTTCCAACATAAATTTATTATAGTGTTTTTATATATGATGTACAATTGTTTAGTCATATAATAATTAAACTAAATTTTATAGAATAGTCTATTATGATATTTAAATATTTTTGACGGTCTATAAACCTGATTTTGATGTATTGATGGTTAATTTTATTTATATATATATATATATATATAGAGAGAGTTGGGTTCACGTGAGGCCAAAAGTTTTTCGTGAGACCGGTAAGACCAATTTATGTTCATTTTTCAACTTTATAAACTAATGATCTAATGGTCTAAAGTTGTACGGTGGCAATTTTGTGATTATTGAGAAGTCTCATGGCAATTTTGTGATTATGAATGTTCAGATTGTAGATCTAATCTAAGGATTGAGAATTGGTCTTACGGGTATCACGAAAAACCCTTGGTCTCACATGATCTGAAGTCTCTCTCTCTCTCTCTCTCTCTCTCTCTCTCTCTCTATATATATATATATATAGAGAGAGAGAGAGAGAGAGAGAGAGAGAGGTTGGTTGGTTATTATACAACCTTTGACATTTGTGCAACTAATACAACTCAACCTCAACCGTCCATTTCATTTGATTAATATGTGATTTCATAGAAGTTTTGATTATTTCATAATATAAAGTGTTGATTAATGAAGCCTATTAATCTTCCATAAATATTCAAATCATAATAAATGAACTCTCATCATTTCCATAAAAAATATCTCAATTTATTGGGTTGCATTGGTTGTACAAATGCAATGAGTTGTATTTGAAACAAACTATATATATATATATATATA